AGCAGCATTTCTTGGACTAATATCCTCCTTTTTTAAAAAACAGCTGTATTTAATTGCCATAGAAAATAGCCATAACATGATTCAATGATATTGACATCTTTATCTTCATCGTCTGTCAGCAATATTTTATAATAATCACAAAATATGGAAGCCACGAGTTTTTTAATTATGTTAATTTCCACTTTTCTTAAAATTTCCCATGGAGGGGCTTCCACAGGCCAACCGCACGAGGATTCTCTTTAATACCGTGCTAACCACATTTAAGTACACTCTACAACTTTTCAATGACAAATAACGAAGAGATGGATTCAAACCATATCCATTTCCTTTTCAATGAATTTTCGTCTTTTACCATGTTAGTTGAAAATTTAATAAGAGCACGATGATTTGACCAAAACCATAAAATTGCTCATATTGGTAACGCTTGTAGTGAAGATGTACAAGAACAAAAGATCCATTCTTTAATATTCCTTGTCCACAACTAAATTTTTAAGGCCAGTATTTAAAATTAAAGCACAAAGAGATTGGAACATACTTATTCGAAAAATTCATTGAACGTCCCTCATAGTAATAAATTGGATACAGCAGAATTCATTTAATACTAAATTTTGTGCAGTGGATATCAATAGATCTCTTACAAAACTTTGTATATACCTTGTACATATGGTTCATCAAGGAAAGGTTGAATTTTAACCGACCTAAACCGGAGAGATTGCATGAAACGATCGCTCAATGTAAATGAACCAAAAGTGGTGCGTGAGGATCCTACCAAATAGTGGTTTGTAGTACTTGAGTATCTCCCAGGAGAATAGACGTCAGCAGATTAAGTATGTACGTGAGTATCAGTTCACAAATGATTCTGTAGTGCGAAAGTTATTATGGTTCTTTGGCAAACTTCAGATGCATTAATATAAAGGGTCATTTATGTTTCCTTCTCATCCCTTTCCGTAAATTGCTTTGACTTTACGTAAACATCGTGGTATAAAATAAACACAAGATAGTGCGACAACTTCTAGAATCGATTATTTTTCCATGGCGTCAATCGTCCCAAATGATAACTTTTGACACTTTATAAGCCACTAATAAACTTACCATTTTTTTTTCCAACCTCCTTGACCGCAGGACAAGTTGCAACACAAAAAATTATAGAAAAATTTTATGTAAAGCCCACAAATTTTTTGCTTGACACGCACATTTTCAATAAATCACACACTATCACATAATTCACTTGTTGCGGCCACCGGGTAACGACACCGAGTGGCGCCACCGTCTGTCTGGTATCTCGATGGTTTGCGACCCGCTAATTACAAAAAATAATTGGGAAATGATAAGAACACAACAAGTCCGCGTTACATTAATTAAAGTTTTATTATATGACATAATGTATAAAATAAACAATTGAGCAATAAACAAAATTTAATAAAATAAATAAACCATATTATAAGTAATATACAGTACTTATTTATATTCAGTACTTATTTTAAGCAAACAAAAAGTGTACAAACTTATCAGAGTAAAAAGGGGTGTCCATACTTCGCATTTTGGTGCTTCGGTGCTGCACGAACGGAGCTCAGCTCATTCTAGTTTTAGTACAGTTTTCCTTGTTCTAATAAGCTTGACGACCGTTCGTATCTTCAGCAATTTTCTACGGTTCTCTCGGACGGTATGAAGGTTTTAAAGTAGATTGCACGGCTTTTAGAGTACTATGTGGTTTTTGAGTTTCATTTGTTATTTTACAACCCCGTTAAGTGCAAATCGAACTTCCGTGAAAAAGTTTTTATGGTTCGATGTTTTAATATGTATATAAAAAAAAATTATGTATTTTATATATATATTTTTAATCTGACTCAAGTTTTTTTGTGGTACTAAAATGAAAATAGTCTTATACAAAAAAAAACATATAATGCTATCGTAGGCTCTAGCCTACGATAGCATTAGATTCCTTTATATAACTAGACCAATAGATCTTGTCAGCTCTGAGTAAAATTAATCAACACCTATTAATTATCCGCAATTTCTATTCATGAATATCTTGCGATTTTTCTGGGAATTTAAAAGACTTTCGTTTATTTATTTATTAGTAAATTATGATTTAGGTCATACATTCCATATTATGCGTAAGTTTTATTTAATACACTCTCAACAATGTATTTAAATATTATTTAAAAAAATGATATATATATATATATATATATCGTAACCAATAGGACAAATAGAACTAATAAGGATTTCGTTTTTTCGTTTTTTCATCAGTTGCATAGAAATATAGTAGTACGGTGAGGATCTATGGAAACAGCTTTTTATTGAACAAATTAAACAAAAAAGATTATTATTATGCATAATCGGTTTCACAAACCAAATAAATTCGTTTTTCGGCGTAATTATCTGTAATGTAACTAATCAACCTTTACATTTGGCGTCATATTTTTTTTACATAATTGAAAAGTAATCTTTTTGGGAAAATTACACTTATCGTGAGATTTATTGAAAATATTATGCACAAAATTTAGTGTAACGAAATAAGTTTATACAACAACAAAAAAATATAATTTCGATTCTTTCGCTATATATTGTAATAAAATTAGGTCAATGACGTTATTATTGTTTGATTTGTAAACTTCGAAATTAGGTTGTAGGACATATGAAAATTCTTATAAAATTTACGAATTAAAAATAGAAAATGAGCATAAATATGTTCCCCAAACACTTTTTTCAATATTTGTATTCAACATAAGAGACACTGGAAAAATCAAATAATGAACCCGCTTTTCCTATACGTATATAATATATATATATATATATACGTATATAGATATACCTATACGTATATCTTAAATTGGTTAAAGTTATGCTGTGGTTAACTTGACTGCAGCACGAAAATGGGCTGGCTTAATCGGTAAGATAAACTACTCCCACACTCCCACAGTACACAGACGTGAGGTCCACTGTTGAATTTCATCCAATGAGTGAAACTTTTGTTGGTCCACTCCCCCTTCAATATCCTACACCCCCTCCATCAGATGTCTTATTCTCTTGTTCTGGTAACGCACTGGTAACTCTCCAGAGTTCTCTGATTGCTCGCAAGCTCATTTGCCCCTCAAAAAAGACAAAAAAGTAAGTAGATAGCTGCATGCGTGTGTGCGTGCGTGCGTGCGTGTGTGCGTGAGTACGTGTGTGTATGTATTTTTTTCTCACTATGGAAAGAGAACATTGGTTCAATATAACTAAATGAATAAATTTTAGATAGTTAAGTATTTAATTTAGATCTATCGTTATGTAAAGATAGCGCCAGAATAATATCAATACTCGTCATCTCGAATTACACACAACCTGACATATGGACAATAGACATGCATACGATGAAATAAATTATCAGGTTAATAGGGAAATACTAACCTTTGGTGAGTGCTACAGTTGTGATTCAAAATAAAAAGTAAATAAAACTATCCTACAATATCATTTATTTCTATTGTTTTTACGCATTACATTTAAATGATCAAATTTGCTCGTTTATGTCTTTTCGAAATCTTGCTTTGTTGGGCATTACATTTTTTATTCTTTGTTTTTTAAATTTACTCAAATAATGCATTACGAATCATTGCAATAAACTCTTCGTGTTTGATTTTCGTAAACATTGAAGACGACTATATTAGAACTTGCTGATTGGTCGTATCGGAATTTTTAGGATTAAAACAAAACGGGTTCGGATCCTGACCATAACAAAATTAACGAATGTTTCTTAAGTCAAATTAAACCACTTGCTCCGTGACTCAGAGAGCACGTTGAACCTTTCACCACTTATGGATGTAAATGGTCATTAAAAGACTGACTCAAAGCAGAGGACTTTAGCTCAAGCTTCTTAGCCTCATATAAAATTTATGAAGAGATATACCGATACAGTGTGGTGACACAGACTCTAAAAACAATATTCTATATGAATATTTAAAATTATCATAAAATTCCAATCGTATTTACAAATCTCTTTTGATTGAAGGTTGCTAATATATTTTATTAACACAAAAGCACAGCCGTACCATCTTTTTCTCGAAACCACTCAGGGCTACTTTAGGTTCCCCCCGGCCCCCGTATCTTCATTGTGGAAAAACTTAGAAGTCTGAATGTTCAGTGACTATAACTCTAAGTCATACTATAATTAACTGTATTTCCAAATTACCTTCTATTTATACCTATAGTTTACGAACTAGCGCCCGTCGAAACTTAAATTTCCCCACAGTAATTCCTAATGTTGTACATTTTTTGTAATCCTGCATTCTATACTATTGTGGAGGAAAATAAAGAATTATTATTATTATTAATTTTGTCAATAACATACTCACTAACCGCTTATCAACATTATCAGGTACTTCTAGCATAGATATTTTATTAGGTGTATTTTAATTATCAATTAGGATCGTTTTAAATAATATATCTTTTATGTGATTATGCTACTTTACTATTACCAAGTCATTAATTTATTATAGAAATAATCTTGATGTATTAGAAAACAATTTATGACGAAATTGTTGAAAAGCTGCTTTCAGAGATACTAACTAAACTAACTGACTCGTTTCTAGATGAGATTTCACAACTTTTACGGTGAAAGGACTACGTTGAGAGATTTGTAATTTTTTTACCCACATTTTATATTTTTGATGTGTCTATTTTATAGGATACGCAACGAGACTTGAGACAAAGAACACCTTTGCATGTATCTTTTTTTTTTTGGATATATTGCTATTTGAAACGTCATTGCAAAGTTTACAATGTTACATACTCTTTGTGTTATTTTCACGTACTTGATATTTTAGCTATTAGAACGTAAACGAAAGTTTACCTAATTTTTGGAACGAAGTTCTTTATCGTACGTCACACTCCGGCGCTCGGCGGATGGGAGCTACACGAAAAAAAGTGTAACCGCAACGAAAAATACTGACCGCTTTTGTTTTAGTTAAAATTTGAAAAACTCTTCATATACATTACTATTGTAAATTTGTTTGCCAACGTCCATACCCCACTGAATACACCAGTTCTCGCGATCACCGAAGTTAAGCAGCGTCAAGCGCGTCAGTACTTGGATGGGTGACCGTCTGGGAACACCGAGTGATGTTGGATTTTTTTGGTGTTGCATTCTTTTATGATAACTTATAATAAAATATTAATTACAATTTTTATATTATAACATTTTATTAATATTCCTTCATTCCTTTTGTTTTATTTTTCGTTTCATTACTTTCAATGTTTGTTAATTTATTTCATTGTGCTTGTATATAACTTATAGTTTTATTTTCTTAAAATATGAAATGAAATTCTTGGATTGTTCTGGACCATATTCAATTTTGAACTTTCAACAAATGAATACTTATACAAATATGTGAAAGTTACATCTCTTATTAACTTCATAATTGTGCAAATTGACGAACTCAACAAAATTTTTAATAAATAAAATTGATGGCGCTGTTTAGTGCTTTTTGTACATATAGCGAAAGGAACTTCATTCCAATCGGGTGTCCCAAAAACATCTCATAGGTTTTTTCAACGCATTCACAAGAAATCCCAGTATTTTGGAAATATATATATATAAGAAATAACGGCTATTTTTATAATGCTTTTAATGTTTTTTATTTTCTACCTCAGTTTCATTCAGATTTGTAATAAAAACAGAGCAACCTACTTCAATTGTTAAACTTGTCCCTATTGTTTTATGATCAATTTAATTTTTACTATTAATATAAGAAATACAACCAGACGGAAAAATATGAGCAGCAATACAAATACTGCTCACTCCTGTTAATAATGCGAATATTTCTGTTAGTCGAGTAAAAAAACCTTTGAAACCATCCATCTTAAAAAAAACCTGTATCAAAATAAGTTACAAACACATTTGTTAAACGCTGTTTCGAATTCAACTTTCGCCGTGCCTACTGTGTATGTCACATGTCTTAAGTTATAATCTCAAATTAAATTTATCTTTCGCTTCATAAAGAAAATTAACGTCGCAACCCAATTGTTTCACTTTATTTAATACTAGCCCTTTTCCGCTCGCTTCGCTGTACCTACATTAAAATTTATCAGTGATTACCTCCGATTCTGATCCCAATCTATCCCGGTCTTGGTGTCTATTTCATTAACAGTTTCGAAGCCGATTGTAATATTTTGTTTTTTTTTTGTTTTCATACATTGTTTTATATACGGTATCCTATGTCGTATTCTAGCAGATGCATAATTTAATTAGAATTTGTTCAGCTATTTTGACTATGAACGAAGATAAATATACAGACAAATATTTGATTTTATTATATGTTTGGACTTGTACCTAATCATCTTCGCACTCCATGAATATTGAAAAAAATATGATCAAAAATAATGAATGAAATCAAATCTCACCTCAAGCTGAATCAAGTCAACTTATAAAAATATACATCTTACTTAATAATACATATGCATGTACATAAAAATGAAATTTGATCCCGTCGAGAGTACCGAGAAGAGATTCAATTCTTTTTATTTCGTATTTTTTCCATGTATAGCTTATTTCCTTACGAAAGTTAAAAGCTACTATCGCTATTTTTCAGCACCCCCTACTGGTGACGTCAAATACATTTTTAAACCGCAATAAATTTAAACTCATCAGGTAGCCTCGTGGCTACCACGGATTAAATACTGACATTTTCCTTTGTCATTGATAGTATCTATGATTATCTCTGTCATTTCCATCGTAATAAAGTGACATGCACTAAGTATAGGTACATTCGTTCTATATTTAATCGTCGTTTTCCTTCATCCCTAAATCCGATGACAAGTTTTTAGGGTGTCTGTCCTAGGACCAGCTGTGCTAATTTCGGCCGGCCTCACGAGAGCTGGCATGTGACAGAGCGCTCGTTTATTTTATTTTATTTATTTTTTTGAGATACAGCTTGACACCGCTTTAAGGTTATCGAATGAGATAAAGTGTTATGTAAGTTGATTCTTTTATCTAGCGCTACGCAAAAACACTGATTATTAATTGAAGTGCGCAATTAATTCAGTCAGCACTTGAAAACGTGACTACGTCTATCCTCCGAGTGGCTGTACCAAATAACGACAGCACCATGATATGATGTGTTTATGTTCGTGAATATAGAATCACTATGTATGTATACGAATGTGAGATAATATGAAAAGTAACTAGGTAATTAAATAAATTTTCTTATATATCTCGACGTTGAGTAACAAATTGAAACAAAATTGGGATAGCTTAGACGCCCGCCATTAGTTCTCCGCTCTGTTAACATATTTATTATTTACTATTCCATAGATTATACACATATTTAGAAATATGTAAACATAATACGCTCACTCTCTTACAAAAAATAATCGTGTAGTAACTATTTTCACATTGTATAACTTTTGCTTTATTACAAGATAATAGTACTAAAAAACCCATTTTTGTATGAACGTATAAAATTACTTTTTACCGTTGCGAACGGTTAGTAATTATTTCACTTACATTGCTGATTTGTATGTGCATTACTTTCAATGCAACGAAATTAAACATTCGATGGACATGTTTTAATTTTTAACCAACTCCAAAAAAAGAAGGTGGTTCTGTGTTCGCCTGTATGTATTTTTTTAAAGTATACTTTTCAACGTATTCAAAATGAAAAGTGACAAATTATAAGATTTTTTTATTTACTAAAGTTAATATAAGTTTAAGATCGTGGTTAGACTGATGTTTTTGTATCATTTTATTTGACGCTGTACTTAAGTAACATAAAAGATATCTTCTTGTTTCTTATTTTCTCATTAAATATTAAATTTTTAATTCAAATATAAATATTTACGAAGAAAACTAGATTTGATATATAAATATAGAGCATAGTAATCGCCATGGTCATCGCCGTCCATGAACATCCACAGCACCAAATGAGTCACTAGTGCGTTTCCGGCTTCGTGGGTAGGAATAACTAATGTGACGACGGTGGGTAGTGGGCTTAAATAAGGAGAAGTGAGCCAACAAAACTCAAATTCACTGGTCTAAAAAGCCAAAGCGGAAGCTTTTACTTCATGTCTGCATTCTATGAAAGCGTGGTAATTCATTGGTCAAACCGACTCATTTCCATGTTGTAGCCAAGGTGACCATAATATAGATCTACTGCAATAAATGTTTTAATTTTGGTATGAAACACTTAAAGAAATGCGACACTAAACTGGTTTGAAAGAAAGAAAGAAGAATTCACTCGTACATTCAGTAAACATATGGAGATTGTTGTAAAGTTTTAATTATTTTAGGAATGTATTACCTACATGGTTTATTAAGATGCAAATGCTTCCCTTTTATAAAAAAAAACATGTACGTATATCAATGTTGCATCAAAACACAATTAGGAAAAAAAATAATATTCAAATCTTACATAAACAACACGCCTCACTTTTGCAATTTTTTTAAGACTAATTACAAAGCCGATGCAATTCTATTTAAGTCGTCAAAAAAAAATCACACAGATGTAGGCATTTCGCACTCCTCTAATTTAAATACAGCCTCGAATTGTTCATAAAAAGCTCGTAAGTTCGACGAGAGTGTTGACGCCTCAATTCAAGATGTCGTTACTTCGTGCTGTCGATAAATTAGAAATTACATACCCTACAAATTTTCTATAGTACGTTATATTGCTCGCACCATATGTTCCTTTTGACGACTACGACTGTGTCGTTTTGATTTACAATGTAATAGCTTCAATATAACCGTCCACTCCCTTGTCTCATTTCCAATTGAAATTCCAGATCCGAATCCGAGCTCGGCGAGCTCCGATCCCCGTTGCGTTTCAATCTCTACCTAGACCTTTAAAGAAAATAGTGTTCAGAGATGAGCGCTTGAAATACACGTAAAACCGGACCTGCTAAAAAATACAAATCTTCACTATTTTAGATAACGCGTACTATCCTTCCATCGCCTCTGCTAAAGCTTTAAAACGGGGAAAAATGCGCTTTCATTGTGTTATTACGGCGGTCCGCCGTACAATTACCCTTATTGCGAATCGGCACAGCGTGAGCCGGAGTTATCCGCAGATCGCGGCAATTCATTCTCCGCAAATTGGCTATTCATCCTCACATAAGCGTGAGTTATCGAGGAGGCGCGCTAGATAAACACCGCGCACGCCGCCGCCGCCCTTAAAAATATAAAACAGGTAACCTTTTTTTTAACGTTCGCCTCGCCCACCCTGAACGCAAGCACCTTCCCGGCCGCCCCCGTCGTGCGAGTGCGTAGTTTTAGCGAATTTTGCGAGTGTACACGAAGAACAAAGAACTTTTTTGATCGATCGAAAATCTAGACACGAACCATGGTAATACAATCGTGATACTCACTTCAAATGTACTTAGAATACGTTACTCTATTAAAATTCTTGCTTTTTTTCTTCCTTTATTTCCAAAAATAGTGTAACAATCTAGCTTTTTGTTTTGTTACTTTGTAAAACATAAGTCATTTTAATTTTTCCTCTTAATAAACCATTTTTAATCGCGTTTTGCTACGGTAACCCATGTATTATTTGACTTATTAATTAAAAAAAAAAATAACTATTTTCTCATATATGAATATTATAAAAGAAAATATCTTTAACTTTGTTATGACGAGTTGCAATAGAAGATAAAAACACTAATTGTTAAATTAACCGTAAGATTTGACAGATGATGTATGGACAATCTGTCAAATCTTACGTTTAACATTTACTATGTGCGTTTATTTCTTTCGGTTCAATCCACTATAATCTATAAAGTTTCGAAAAATTTCAGACTATTTTTGTTTAAAATCAACTAAATAAAATTATATTAAATAGTTTATTATTAGCTTACAGTTAATTATTTATATATTAAAAATATAGAAAATTCATATGTTACATATAAAGAAGTAGGACACATTTTTTTTTTAATTTACCGTCTTATTTTCTACATAATGAGCATATTTTAATTCCATTATGCATATGAAATAACTGATGAACTATATGATGAACTATAAAGCATTCAAGTTGTAATAATTATAAGAAAAAAATAAAAATATTTATTTTATCTCAAAATCTATCACTTATAATTTGGGTATACAACGAGAAAAAGTTTAAATGGTATTAAATATATA